GAGGCTGAATAGATCCAGTTTCTCTAGTCTCTCCTCGTAAGGCTTGGTCTGTAGGCCCTTAACCATATGAGTGGCCCTTCTCTGGACTCTCTCCAGGTTATCCACATCCCTCTTGAATTGCGGCGCCCAGAATTGCATGCAATACTCCAACTGCGGTCTGACCAGCGCCCGATAGAGGGGAAGTATCACATCCTTGGACCTATTCGTCATGCAACTGCTGATGCACGATAAAGTGCCATTGGCTTTTCTGATGGCTTCGTCACACTGCCGACTCATGTTCATCTTGGAGTCCGCTAGGACTCCAAGATCCTTTTCCACTTCCATGCCACCCAGCAGGTCATTCCCTAGGCTGTAGGTGTGCTGGACATTTTTCCTCCCCAGGTGCAGCACTTTGCATTTCTCCTTGTTGAACTGCATTCTGTTGTTTTCTGCCCACTGGTCTAACCTGTCTAGGTCTTGCATCTGATGGATGCAATCAGGTGATATAATTTAAATAAAATTTACTGTCTGTACAAAGGCAGTAGACCTTAGCTCCTGAGAGGAAAAAAATCACTTTACTATTTTTATGAACATTTCAAACATACTTCAAAAGTAAATTATAACTGGGTTAGCTAAAAAGGCTGTAGAGCAGGATGATTCTTCTAGTTGTTGCTCAAATGCTACATACTTTTTTTACAGACTTTCCTGAAGGAACGCTTTGACAATGAAGAAATTAAACCAGATTTATGGATGTCCTTGGAAGGTGGAAATGCTTGTACTGAATGTGGAATTCTAGCAGAGGATACAGCTCTGTATTTTGGAGGCACTACAGTAAGACAAGCTGTCACACAAGACCTGGATCTGAGGGGTGCCAAGTATGTCATGTTACCAGCTAGAATTTGACATAGCTGATGTGTTCTAACAGAGGGCTTCATTAATAATAATAATAATAGAGATCAGATTGGTAACAAACATATAAATAAACAGTAACAGATAAGGCAGCTTATGGGAATGATGATACTGAACTTTTCACTTCTAAGCGACAGTTCAGAGTCATCTCTGGTAGACAATGACAAATGGTTCTTATTTTTACCATCAACTGGAATTTTTTCACTGACATTTGTGAAATGAGTCATTATTTATTTTTGCGGAGTATCTTGCTGCTTTGTAGGTATATGATAAGAAAAGGTCCTTACTCAAAAGAGTTTAGAACTTATAGACAAAGTTTAAGAGCAGTGCAGTGCTGGTGACAACTGTGTTACAACCTCAACTTCACAACTGACACCAGCCGGTACTCTGGCTGCCAGTCTCAGCAAAGAGGTGAAGAACTAAGTGGGCATGAGGGAAAAAATGTGTATGTGCCTGTGCTGTGCCCATTCTATATATTGACAGTATTTGAGAGGGTCACAGCAGCACATCTCACAAACACCCAAAAGGTTTTCAAAAAATAAGTAAACAAAAGTATTTACTTAAAAAATGCCAATTGTGTTTATTTATGTTCGGCTATAGGAGAATTGGATTTAACCAAGTATCATGTGAGTTCTGGGTAGGGCATGCACTACATTGAAGAAACAGCTATTAAAAAAACCCCTAGAGACTTCTTCCTTAGCATGAGAGTGGTGTAGACAGGAGCTAATTTGAGTATATCATACAGATTTTTCTAAGTGAAGCTGAAGCATTAACATTTAAAAAATGGCCAAGGGAATTTCCTCTTACGGCCTCTCTTCACTGAAGGCCATGGGGAAAGAAAAGCATGAGATTTGCCAGACTGTTAAAGGAACAAGTCTCTGTGGTAATTTGTAACAAAATGCCATGTCCTGCCAACATTTACAGACGTGAATGGCTTTTCTCGGGTAAGTAACTCCACTGAAATGAGGGAACATATGGAAAATAATGTGCTTAAAGTGACTACAGAATTGGGCCTTAAAATGTTCCTGTGGCTTTTTCTTTCCCTTTAAAAATCTGTATTTCCCATCTGTATATTTATTGCAACAAAATAGAATTGCCCAGTGATGAGACAGCTGTGAAATACAACCTTTTATTCACTCGTATAAAAGATTGTATCACATTTGTTTAATATACATAAACTAGATATATCAAATACACAACTTTTGCATACTTATAAGGCCAGATCTTCAACCACTGTAAGTAGCATACTTCCATTAGAACCCTGATGCCAATTTATATCAGCTAAGAATATAGCCTATAAAATACAGAAGGAGACAAAGCATACTAATATTATTGTTTTCCTCACCCTCCTGCTTTAAAGTGTCACTAATTCTGCTGAATTACATGCAGAATTTGTTTTAGTATGTAGCTCATCTTTCCCTTTTTATGTTTTACTGGAATTACTTCTGATTTTCATTAAGTTCATTTCCTTGCTTAATTTCAAACACAGATGAATGTGCTGTGCCCATAGTGGCCTATTTGCATTTATAGAGGCCTGTTCTGCAAGATTCACTAAAAACCTATCTTGTCCTAAGTAAACATCAGTTTTGTTTAATAAAACTTTTTGGTATAATGAACATTGCCAATATATTTCTTGACAGTAAACAAATCGATCAAGTAAGAAAGAATCTACTATATTGTTTGGATATATAGTATTCTGTGTGTAACTATCACTGCATTTCCCTTCAGATTTCTACAGTATTGGGGAAGAATTGGGAGTGAAAACAACATGACAACCTGTCACAGACCATCCAGGCCTGCCGACTTAAAGGCATCCAGTTCTTCCAAATGACTCTGCACCATCTCAGGGTCTACGCATGGTAGTCTGGCGCCTTGCTGCTGCCTCTCTACAACCCCAGTGAGAGACTTGTCATGCCCCTCACTTAGGAACACTGAGGCAAAGAACTCGTTGAGGAGTTCAGCCTTGTCCCCCCTGTCCGTCGCCAATTGTTTCTGCCCATTTAGCAGGGGTCCTATTCCTCCCTGGGCCTTCCTTTTACTCCCTATCTAGCTGAAAAACAATTTCTTGTTGTCTTTTACTTGGGTTGCCATCCTCAGCTCCATGGCAGCTTTGGCCCGTCTAACTGCCTCCCTACAAGCACAAGCAGAGGAGGTATATTCATCTTTGGTGATCTCTCCCTGTTTCCACCTTTTATGTGCTCCCCTTTTGTCCCTTAGGCTGCCCTGGATTTCTCTGGTCAGCCAGGGAAGCCTCCTGGCCCCTTTCCCCCTTTTGCCTCGCTCAGGGATCGTCTTGCTTTGTGCCCGAAGGATCATTTCCTTAAGGCACAGCCACCCTTCTTGGGCTCCCATCACTTCAAAACTCCTACTCTGCAGTGCGTCCTTGACTAATCGCCTGAGTTCATTGAAGTTAGCTTTCCTAAAGTCTAGCACTTTCACCCTACTAGTTACCTTACCCACTCGACGTCTTATGGACGTCTTTATCCCATCTATTTTCTAAAGTCATTTGTAAAAATATCCTTCCCTCCCCCAGACATACACAGTTGTGTTCTTTTTCCCTCTTTTTTATTTTAATTAAAATTTTAACATCATTACTTCGTCCTGTGCTGTGCTAACTGAAAGCCACTGTGCAAAATAAATCTATGGCTCTGCAAACTTTTGCAGAACTAGTACTTACTTAGGTCCCATGTCCTCCGGTGGGATGACTTATGTCAACATAAGGTTATGAATCAGGCCCTAATATTGCAATGTATTGCTTTTTTGTGATTAACAGTCATCTGTAAAAGCATCCTGGTAGCTTCCCACATGGAGCTTAACTTTTTGTATGTGTAGTGTGCTGAAGCAATAATAGAACCAAGTTTTATAAATAACAGCTACACAACTGAGGGGTTTTCTATTTTGTGGCAAATGCAAAAATGTGCTTGATTTAGTGAAGTATTGTTTCAGTTCCCACCATTTGAGAAATGACATTGCAGTTCAAGACACTAACTATGGTGGTAGGCAGCAGTATGAAGTAGAAAATCTAGGATTCATTAAAAGTGATGTGTGTGTTTATTATTTGCATTTTAAGGTGTTCCCCAACCAAACATAAGTTGGCTTAAGATGACAGGGAACAGTTCTTTCTTGCTTTTGAATGGGTCCTTATTTCTGAGGAACGTGTCATATGAAGATGCAGGCACATACACTTGCACAGCAACTAATGTGCTTGGAAAAGCAGTAGGAACATCTGTTCTTCACTTAACTGGTAAGTGAAAAATCATAGTTCATCATTCATAAGCACTGGCAAACTTGTCCTTAGACTAATTTGGGATATGTCTGGGGAAATATTTCACCCTTTAATTAGTGTAGGCTTGGAATTTTCTGAGTGGTCCTGACCCTATGAAGTGTTATTTTTTATTCCATATAATCCGTTCATAGACGTTGGAGAGCTTGGTTTGTGACTCCTTTCTCCTGGTGCTGTGCCTGTTTTCCTCTGGGCATTAGTCTTTAGTCTTCAAGGAGGAGAAATAGATCTGCTAGCATCTGGAGTGGACTTCCAGCACCCGATTACAAAATGCATAATGGGTACACCTGAGTACTAAGGAGAGTTGCTAGGCACCTAGGAAACCTTACAGAAAAACATACTGTAATATAAGCTGTACTATCTAATCTTACAGACATAGTAGTATGGAGTAAAAATAGCAGACTATTGACTACTAATGCTGAATAGTGCTAATTACCCTAGTAAAATAAAGGAACAGGAAATAGAAAACTCTTTAAAAACAAAACAAAACAAAACAAAACCCTGATTAAACAACTCTGCTGCAAATAAACTAGTAATGTAAAACTTGCAAGCTTGCTTTTCCCCTTCCCCCCCCACAAAAATGTTCCAAGTGGCTGAATCTTCCAGTGGTAAAGATTACCTCTTCTAATGTTGTGTGTTAGCCAGGGATGCTGAGTTCTTAAAGTATTCTTACTAAGTCCTTATTCTTAAGTACCCAGAAATCAGGTGACTTATGGACTTACAGAGGGTGAGACCTGTTGGTATAGTAAGACATTCCAAAGATGGATTGGGAGTCTCTGTGCAAGGATGAAATTGTGGAGCCTGTTGTAAGCAGTGGTAGGAGGATGTGCATGCAATCTGTATCTTCCTTGTTAGAGAAGAATCCAGATGTTTTTAAGCAGGGTGGTTTTGACTATGGAGGTGTGACACACAAAAGAGCTAGTAAGAGCCCAAACTTAATTTCTAGTCTTCAGTCTCTGACATTGACTTAAATGAATGTGAAATAAGCAGTAGGAACCAAATCCTTCAGTTCATACGTAACTAGCAACAAAAGCAGGGACAGATCAGGGAAGAGGGGTTGGTAGTGCATTTGCTCTCATTTGATTTGTGTTCCACTCAAAGTGTAAAACAGCAAACAAAAACAGGGAGGGGAGGGATAATGTTGAAGGCAGGCCGAGCTGTGTGTTGGTGCAGTGCTCAGAAGCAGGAGGGAGTTGAAAAGATGTGGCAAAGAAGTAAATTATTGTAGTAACCCTTTCCTGGGTTATTTATTGCAGCAGATGGTGGAAGCTGTGGGGCTAGGGACAGACATTATACATAAGCCAGTTTAAGTGATCAGAAACTGGTTTAAACTTGTAACAGAACTGATGTTCAGTGCACATAAACCAGTTTGAAAATGGCTGAAACTGGTTTGAGATAAACCTTGTTAAATGTAGTATCAGACTTAATTGACTTCGTTCAAACCGGTTTATGCAATGTCTGTCCCAGACCCCTTATTGGTTTAAGATAAACCAGACTCCCCCAGCATGCTCTCTGGGCTGGGTGGGGCTCTCTGCTCCACAGCAGAGCTGACCCCTCCCCTCTGCTCCCTGGCTGGAGCTCCAGCAGAGACTGCAGGCATGGCAGGGTCTGCCTGACTTCCCCCTGCCCTACACCCCCTTGCTCACGGCTCAAGCTGGAATCCCTCGCCCTCCCATCTCCCACAGCACAGACCCCAGCCTCATGGACCCTAGGCACGTGGTATACTAGCTAATGCCAAAAGGTGTATATGTGTGTGTGTCTCTCCAGTTTCACTGGAACAGGTAGACAGGACAGTGACTGCTTAGGGCTTTTTGGAGCTAATCAACAGGTCAGCTGGTAAGCTGTTTAAGAGTGGAGAGAGAGATGGAGAGAGGCTATTGTTTTGTTGATGGGGTGATTAAACACTGTTATGAGCCCTGTGGTGGCTTGCTTGTCTGTCAGTTTGTTGCAGACAGTATAAAGAAGCAGGGAGGGAGATTGAAAAGCTCCATATCATCAGCAGATGCATGTACTACACCCCACCTCACCACTTGTCTCAGAGTCCTAGCAGGGGACTAGAGTCTGGCAACACTCCCACCCCTTGAGCAGCCAGTGGGGAAAAGCCTGGGACCATGCAGGCAGAACTCCCTAATCAAAGCATTGTGCAAGGGCCTGGCCATGCCCCCCTCAGCTCAGCAAGGGAAGGGAGGGCTGCTCTAGTGCCCCCCAGCTTCTAGCCTAAGCCACTGCAGGCACGCACCTGAATTTCCTTAGTCCAAAGAGAATGTCTGTTCAATTACAAACCAGTTTAGCCTAGTCAGGTTAGACGAACCTGCAAAGATTGAATCAGTTCAGGCTCAGGCATTTTGAATATTTGTCCCTAGCCTGGGAGGCTGAACTAGCAGTGCAACAAGGGTGGTATAAAACTGACAATGGGTGGGTCCAGTGGAGTTGATCTCCCTGCATAAGGCTACTCCAAGCAGCTTAAGTGAGTCTTCTCCTGACCCCAACTGTTTCTGTTTGTTAAGGGTGGAGTGCTGTGGAAGCCAGCTCTGGGCATGCCAGGGGGAGGGGAAGACAGTGGAGGAGAGGGAGAGCCATTACAGTCCTACCCCCACATGCCCTGTGGTCTGGGGCTATAAGGAACAGGGGGAACTGTTTGAGAGGGTTTCTAAGGAGAAGGCTCTCCCATGGGCTGGATGGAGGGTTACAGGTACCAAGGGGATTTGGGGAGGATAGGGGGCTGAGGGAAAGAAGGGTGTGGGTGAGGAGGGCCTGGGGCATCATGGGTGTGAGGGGTAGATGAGGTTCAAGCTGAAGAGTGTGGTTGGGGCTGTGGGGATAATATGGGATATGAGAGGGGTTGGGTGGGGGGTAGGGTCCAGAGGGTGTGAGGGACTTTTTGAGTGACCAGAGGGGGCAAGAAAGGGCTCAGTGGGGTTGGAGGGGAATGGTGAGTTGTTGAAGGGCTGGGATGTGATGGCAACAAGTATGTGGAAGGTGCAGCGGGTTCATGGGGGCAGGAGGAGGCAAGGTAGGATTCAGTGGGTAGTGAGAGGGAGGGTGGGGTCTGATCAGGCTTGGGGCAAAATGGATGGGGCTGAGCATGGGGAATATGTGGGATAACAGGGGAAAGAATAGAACCAGGGGCCATTCAAGGTGGCAGGGGCAATGCATAAAGGGCAGGGAGGGGCATTTTGAGGCCATGGTGGAATATCTAGGTGACCCATATTCTGAGGTGTGGGGTGGTATTCTGTCTGCTGCCAGGTTGGGGTTAACAGCTGTATTCCCCTGGCACCAGGTGCCTGCCCCACTCTGGCAATCAGCCCCTTCCTTCCCACCCACCACTCCATTTCCTCCAACCCTCCTCCCTATTATATTTACTTTTGCTTGGATCTTAAACTGAATAATGTAGTCCTAGCCCCCCAGCACATCAGTAAAGCTTCTAGTTTCTTTTTAATGGGAAAACAAGTGTTGTGTTATGTAGTGATGCACTATACCATCTGCACCCCCTTTTCAAAATCCTAGATCTGCCCATGAGTAAAACCTCCACTGGATTCAGGAGGAGATTTGCTACAGTTGGAACTTAAGGACTGGCCAGCTCAGGCATTTAAATTGCCCCAGCCCTGCTCCTGGTCCATTCTGGTATGTCAAGTGGCAGCACAACATTGAGGCAAGGACTGAAGATGCAGCTATTATTCCCTTGTTGTCTTTAGGTAGAAACAGACATTGCCTGTATTGCATTTGTAATGCCATAACAATGTTTATGGTGGTACATATGGTGAGCAAATAGACATCTCTGCCCTTTATCTTGCAACATCAGTGGCTGCGACAAAATATAGTAATACAGTGTGCTACTTGGTGTCCAATATCTATTGACTCTGGTGGGAAAGTGCAAGCAGCTCAGAGCTGCCCTTACTTCCAGCCATCCTGAGCAGGTGCCCCAGGGACTTGAGGGACCCAGTCCTGCGCTTCCCAGGATCAGGACCCTCAAGCCCCTGGAGCACCTGCCTGGCTTTCCTTGCTTACAGAGAGGTGCAGGGCATGTCTTGGTAAGTGGGTAAAGTCAGGGTTCCCTACTTAGTGGAACCCTCCACTCTGGGACCTGCACTGACCCATGCCTCACACGGAGGTGCAAGTCAGTACAGGGGGGCAGTGCAGGAGAAGTGGAGTCCCTGACACTCCAGGACCTCT